CGAGCGGGCCAGCCCTTCCCCGGCTCTCGCAGCCTTTGCAGGGAAGCGGTTCCTTGTGGGGCTGGGGGTCTCAGCTGAGACGAATGGAGAGCGGAGATGGCTTGGTGGGCTGGGCATGGAGACGGGCAAGCATCAGATTCAGCATCCACCGAAGAGCAAGGGTGCTGGTCCCCCTCTGCACCCAGTAACCCCTCTCCTCGCCTCCTGCAGCATCCAGGCCTGGGTGCGGGTGGCTCACACCTCACCAAGACAGCTGACCTGGAGGGAACGGCAAACGAGCTGACGGTGAGCAGCTGGAGGAAGCTCCGAGGTGCCTTCACCAGCCTCCCGAGCCCCAGCCGGGGCAGGGGCCGCTCCCGCGCCCGCTGGCTACCCCCACCGCGGGAGGATGCCGGGGGCCAGCAGAGCTATCACTCCGAGCTCCACGTCGCAGCATCGCCCCAGGGCGGCCCCCCCGAAGTGCCCAAGAAGACGGAGAAAGTCTTGCAGATGAGCAAAGTCCTCAACCCCGACGCTCTGGCCCCGGGTAAAGGCCACCTACACCCCAAAGACTACACTGTTGTAACCTCAGTGACCTGGGGCTGGAGGCAGTGAGCTGGTCCCCCAGGCCCTCCGTCAGAGATTTTATATAGACAAATATATAACATGTTTATGTCATATATACATAACCCTGCCCCCAGCAGCAGGTCCCCCAGGGCTGTGTGAAGCCAGGGCTGTTCCCAGTCTCCCCTCTCCTGCTTGGAAAGATGCCCCAGCCCGGCTGTGGCCGCAGCAGCCCACGCCGTCTCTCTCCTCCCACACAGGGTACTCAGGCCCCCTCAAAGAAGTCCCTCCAGAGAAGTTCAACGTCACTGCCATCCCCAAGGGCTACCGCTCCCCGTGGCAGGAGCTCCTTGGTGACAAGGACAACGCTGTGCATGGCGAGAACTGAGACCCTGTCCATGGGACTTCAGGAGCTTCAACAGGTAATACTAGCCGAGGAGCAGGCACCGCCAGCCTGTCCATCCCTTGGCCAAGCCCTTCAGCCTCAAGAAGCACCTACCACTCTACCAGGGAACCACAGTGGGCCATGTCCTCTTTATACTCCACAAGGGAGCAGCAGGGTCTCAGGTTGCTCTTTTTCTGCTCAGGAGCTCCTCCGTGACCCCTCTGCAAAGGTCCTTGCCTCCAGCACCTCCCCAGATCTCCTTTCAGCTCCACCACCGTTTTTTTGCGCGGCCTTAAGCAGCTTGGTCTCACGGGGTCGCCTCGGGGCTGAAATTTGGGAGGACTAATTCTCACGCACGTGGTCCTGGAGGAGGAATCGCTGCTGTTCCCAGCCGGGCTCAGCTGTGGGCTGGGTGGAGGAACGGCACAGTGTGCCAAGTCTCTCCTAGCTTCCTTAAGGTATCCAAGCAGCTGCTGGAAGCAGTGGGGCTGTGAGGTTAATCTTCCCGCAAGGTGCTAAGAGGTCACCCAATTCCTTCCAAATTCCCTCCAAACACCTGCTTGAGGCTGACGTCTCCAGGCCGGGGAGTTTCTGTTGGAGTCTGGCCACCTCCATGCCCTGCGGCTGCTTCCAACCCATGGGACTTCAGGAGCTTCAACAGGTAATACTAGCCGAGGAGCAGGCACCGCCAGCCTGTCCATCCCTTGGCCAAGCCCTTCAGCCTCAAGAAGCACCTACCACTCTACCAGGGAACCACAGTGGGCCATGTCCTCTTTATACTCCACAAGGGAGCAGCAGGGTCTCAGGTTGCTCTTTTTCTGCTCAGGAGCTCCTCCGTGACCCCTCTGCAAAGGTCCTTGCCTCCAGCACCTCCCCAGATCTCCTTTCAGCTCCACCACCGTTTTTTTGCGCGGCCTTAAGCAGCTTGGTCTCACGGGGTCGCCTCGGGGCTGAAATTTGGGAGGACTAATTCTCACGCACGTGGTCCTGGAGGAGGAATCGCTGCTGTTCCCAGCCGGGCTCAGCTGTGGGCTGGGTGGAGGAACGGCACAGTGTGCCAAGTCTCTCCTAGCTTCCTTAAGGTATCCAAGCAGCTGCTGGAAGCAGTGGGGCTGTGAGGTTAATCTTCCCGCAAGGTGCTAAGAGGTCACCCAATTCCTTCCAAATTCCCTCCAAACACCTGCTTGAGGCTGACGTCTCCAGGCCGGGGAGTTTCTGCTGAAGTCTGGCCACCTCCATGCCCTGCGGCTGCTTCCAACAGAGCATGGCCGGCCGGGCCCCCCGCACCACCCTGGGGTTGAGCTTAGGACCCCGGAGCGGAGACCGCCAAGGCAAGTCTCAAGTCTGGAAAGGTGCTTGATGGGGATTCGGGAGATGGGAGATCTGGTGGTAGCAAAGCACCAGCAGCCCAAGGTAGAATAATGAGAACTGAACCTTTAAGCTGAACATCATCCCAGGGAATCTGCAAACCAAGGTCCCGGTTCTCCTTCTCCCTGAAAGCCTCTTTCATGAGGATGAAAGCACATTAGCCTTGGTGGCCTGGCCAGCATCACCTTCCAGCAGGGAAGC